TGTTTCTGATGAAAGTCTTGATAAACATCAGGTGCTGGGAGATAAAAAAGCAACTTTTCTCCCGAAACGACTTTTGGAGCGGTCGTCTGCATGGAATGGTTCAGGTCGACTGGAGCCTAGAGTCTCATGATCATAAACTAAGGTACATTCGAGCCAGACGACTTTTCTTGTGCTGTAGTCTTCCGCTTTTTTTAATGAACAGAGGTCTAGAAGCGGGCCAAGTATTTGTTTGACGGCGAGAAAAACGCGATGTCGTTGACAAACTCAAAAGTGGCATTGCCAGGAAAAAAATATCCCCGTCAAGTAAGCATCGAAAAAAGTCAAAGCGTAGCCTCGAGAAAGAGTTGAACCTGGCGAGTTCCTTTCACACGTAGTCACACGCAGCAATATGGTGGAATGTATAATAACTCATGTTAACTAGTTGAGAAACCATGGAAATGGCTTCGTACGGATAGCCGTGTGAGAGACGAGGACACCGGTTCGGCATGGACTAGCGAAACTTTGAAGCAGATGGAAGTCTTAGCGGATTGTCAGCAGAGCTATCTGGTAAGTGTCGTGTAAGTCTGAGTTCATGGCCAGCGATATTGGCAGCAACTCTTTCTCAACGAGCCATTTGACAACGAAGAGTTCACTTCTGGCTACCCGTAGCTATAACTCCGAAGAACTAGGCATCAACGATCTCACATTCTACACTGGTCGAGTTTGTTCGCTATGGAAAGGTCATGTATATTACAGACATGAGACCGTTTTTTTTATGATTTTGTTGAGCGTGTGACTGTGAAGATGTTGACGCTGTTGAGAAGGTTCTGGACTGCTCCCTCCTGACACGAGCAACAAGACTTTTCTGGAGAATCGCCTACGGATCTTGATGGCCGAAAAGCGGAGCCAAGCGGGCCGTGAGAAAGACATACAGGAGTTCGAGATGCAATTGAGGGAGAACTTATAGAGATGGAGTTGGTTTGTCAGTTGAACTCGCCTCTCAACGCTTGGCTGGTGGAAGGCCTTGTTCGAGAGTACATTCGTCTGAAGAAG